CTCCTGGCCAGCTAGAAGTCCATGGCCTTTGGGCAAAGAGAAAGGGTCCCTCTTTGGGGGAGGGGCACAGGGAGGCTGTGCATGTCCACACCAGGGGGCACTGCTTCACCAGGGCTGGGCACAGGCTCCACTTGAGCCCCCCTGTGTGCTCAGCCCATGACTCCCAGGAGGGAGGCTTTGGTCTCTGTGAATAGAAACAGACAGAAAGTAAACTTAGAGCCAGATGGTCTTTGTTCGGCAAAAACCACTCTGAGTTGTGCAAATGGAAAGTGAGCAGGCATCCATTGTTCCTGACCTAGGGGAGCTCCAGCCCAGCTGTGACTGAGGGCCCTGGGGACCCAGCCTCCCAGGCCCAGCATTATGCTTTCGGAACAATGAGCTGAGCATGCAAGCACAGACTCCAAGAGTAATAAAGTTGGAGGTTGGAGAGAGGCACTCTGGGAGCACCAGCAAGGTGTGGACAAGCAAGGACTCCCCTCAGTGGGATAGATGACCACTAGCTGTAGGCAGCAGCACTGGCTTTGCAGTTACCTAAACACCTTACATACCATGGAATACCAGGGCAAAGGGATGCTGGAGAGATGGGTCAGGGTACCAAATATCTATACATCAAGCTCATAAAGTTTTCCATTCATTCATCCCTCCCCCCTTTTTTTCAGTGGCCCAATAGTTCTCTGCTCTGTGCATCCTAACATGCAAGACTAAGAGTCATCACTTGAAGATAACACTTCTCTTGTGCCTCGCTATGGCCTGACAAGTCCAGCTCGGTGCCTGGCACACAGTAGGTCATAGTCAGTACTTGCTGAAAGCTTACAGCAGAAATTGCCCTGGGGTGTATCCTAAGGTTCTTTACTCACTAAGCCTTGGGCTTATCAGAAGAGCACATCAGGATCTACGAAGTATATTTAAGTCTTTAACATGAAAAAAGATTGATCTGAAAATTAATAAAACACCTGCCTATATACCACCAAAAGCTTATTTCAGGATTTTATTTTTTTTAATGATAAAATGCCACTAGATTTACAAAGAAATACTAGGTTTTTAAAATCCAGAACTTTTGTTGAGTTCCAGATCTGTGAGTTCAAAAACCATAAAGTAAAATCAATCTGTGTGTTTTTAAAAATATATATTTTATTGATTTTTACAGAGAGGAAGAGGGAGGGGTAGAGAGTTAGAAACATCGATGAGAGAGATACATCTATCAGCTGCCTCCTGCACACCCACCTCTGAGGATATGCCCGAAACCAAGGTACATGCCCTTGACCGGAATCGAACTTGGGACCCTTGAGTCCACAGGCCGATGCTCTACCCACTGAGCCAAACCGGTTTCAGCTAATCTGTGTTTTTATAAAGAAAAAAAAAATCTCAGTGTTTACAAGCTCAATGAAAGGGCTTATGTATTTAAATCACATTTTTTAAAATGCACTTTATGAAAATATTTGGTTCTTGGCACTTTTTGAGTGGATTTTACAAAATCCATAAAAGCATGCCTGGCCAGTGTGGCTCAGTGGATGAGCATCAACCCACGGACCAGGAGGTCATGGTTGGATTCCCAGGCCAGGGCACATGCCCAGGTTGTGGGCTTGATCAGTAGGAGGTGTGCAGGAGGCAGCCAATTAATGATTCTCATCACTGATGTTCCTATCTCTCTCCCTCTCCCTTCCTCTCTCTGAAATCAATGAAAACATATTTAAAATACAAAACAACATATATGTTATGCTGACAACTCACAAGCATTTTTGTCAAGTGAAAAAAAATAACTGCTCCCATCACAAGTTAAATAAGAGCCATGAGGTTGGAGGTGCTTTTCTTGACAAAAATCTAAGTATAAAGCACTGACGGGGAAAGTGGATGCTCTTGTAATATCTCCACGGCATCAACACAGTGCAGGCACAGAGCAGGTCTTTAGAGATATATATCCTATCAGAATAATTCTTATTGCCATAGTTGGCAAATTTTTCGAGGTCAGGTTTCAAGTTTTTAGTTATTTTTTCATGGGAGAGGGGTGGAGAGGAGGCTGGATGGAAGGTGGGGGGACAGATGGGGTTGCAGGGAGGGCACGGTTGTTTGGGAATGAGGTTCTTCTTGACCAGCCCTTCGAGAACACCTTCAGCTTTCTCTTCCTTCCCCTTCTCTCCTCCCTCCCAGACACACATCACTGCAAAATGTGCTGTCCCCTTCCCTCACCCACCCCACACTCTCCCAAGGACTCACACCAGGTAGTTGACTCATTATTAGAAATTAACCCTTAGAAGAAACTTGTTGATAAGAAACTGGAATCGAGAAAGGGAGTTAGAAAAGCTGCTTGGGAGGTGGCAGTAGTAGGAGAAAGTATCAATACGGATGTGAGAAGGTCCTACACCAAACCCATCAACCTTACACGGGGCCCAGGCCAACCTTGACCACAGCATCACAGGACATATTGACATATACACGCCACACGACAGTGGTTCTCAAGCTTTATTACACATTAGAATCACCTACTACCAGGCTGCACCTGATGCTAATTAAGTCAGAATCCCTAGGGGTGGGCCCTGGCCATACTCTGTTTGGTTGTGTTTTTTTGTTTGTTTGTTTGTTTGTTTGTTTTTATTCCCCATGTGACTCCTATGTGAAACCAACTTTGAAAACAAGTGTCAGAGAGTCATGCTTCTCAAATAAGGATGTATCTAAACACAAGCCAGGGACCTTGTGAAATGCAGGTTGGGGTTAAGTAGGTCTGGGGTGGGGCCTGAGATTCTGAGATGAAGCGGGTGCTGCTGGTCCTGGGCCATTCCGTGGGTGAGGCTACATATAACCAACTGTGGGCACTACCCATGTGTCCACGGCTTCTGCGGAGGGCCTGGAATGTAGGCTGCCTCCCCCCAGGCCAAGGGATGTCTGCACAAGGTGGCACAGCCTCCCTGCGGGGCCTATATGATGATCCCGTTACCCAGCCCAGTCATCTGGCTGAAGCTCACATGCGGGCAGAGGATTCAGTACTCCGGGAAAACACTCTGTGCATGTCCACGAGGGACCAGACCACTTTTTTTTCTGAGTCTAGAAATGCAGGCGTTCCTGGTCACAGTTAGCCTGCCCTTGCAGAACCCCAAGGCTCCATTATGAAAAGGAAACACGGTCACTGGGAGAAGTTCACCTTTTACACGTGGGCCAGCATCCGGGGGCATCAGGACAACTCCGTGGACAGTTGTCACTTCCAATGTCCTTTAAGAACATACAGAAGACACAGAGTTCTCCAAAACAAAATAACATTATAAAATGAAACCTAAAGCTCACACAATGTGCACTTTGCACACACATGTTTGAAAGGGTTTTCCTGCCCTTTTTCTGTCACACGTGCCAAATGAAAAATGGTGATACAAGCCATGCTTATTTATCTACCACTGGACTAATTTTCAGTTGTCTTTTTAGAGCCATCTGAACAGTTCATTTTTGTAAAAACCAATAGAGATTATCCACAGGCTAAATTCAGTTTGGCCAAGACATAAAAGGCAGGAGATAAAATAATGTCCATTCAATGCTTTCCACAGTATGGATTTGCCAGAGGGCAAGGAAGAGTGAAAGAGACAGAAACATCAATGATGAGAGAAAATCATTGATTGGCTGCCTCCTGCACGCCCCCTACTGAGGATGGAGCCCACAACCCTGGGCATGTGCCGTTGACTGGAATCTAATCTGGGACCCTCCAGTCCACAGGCCAATGCTCTGTCCCCTGAGCCAAACCAGCTAGGACGCCAGAGAAGTCTTTACACAAATCCCACGCCCCATCTCCCATTCCCAGTACGGAACCATCTTAACCAGCTCTATCCAGTTTGATCTGCAAAGTCAGATCAATAACGCCATCAATGTTTTCTAAGTATACACACTGTGCGGCAAAAACAATGTTACAAGAATAAGAAAACTGAGGTCTTTGGTGGAAAACAGCTAGCTGGCCCGAAACGTGCCTTTTTTTGGCCAGGAAACTCGGAGGTAGAAGTGGGGCTGAACCGGGGCAGAAAGGGATCAGTGTGGGGGATAGTGTTCACCTGCGCACCACTGTGAGGGCCTATGGCTGCTAGGGGTGTTCTTGATGTTCATTTTATTTCCAACTTCCAGTTCCTCAATTGAAAATTAGAAAGAAAAAACAAAACAAACACGTGGAAACTTAACCAATCTGATGCACTTTTTAAAAGTTCTGCAGTTCTTAGGATCATGCATGGTTCCAAAGCATTTGAAACTGATTTTTTAAAACCTCGTAACCTCCCCGTTTGGTAGGTAGTTCTGATTTGAACACCGAGATGTGAGAGACAAGGCTATGCGATGCGCCCCATGTTGCACAGGCCCTGGCCTCTGGCGGAGCGCCGGGTCTCGCCTGTCCGGGGCGCAGGGCGGCCCCCAGGACCCGCCGCCCCGAGTGGAGCCCTGGGTCCGAGGCCGGGCTAGGGCAGTGCAGGACCAGAGGAGCACACAGCGGTCCGAACCCTCTCGGCATCACCCGCTCGGGCTTGCACCGGGAATCCTCTGGCCAGCAGCAACCCGCACCCCACCACCCCCAAGAACACTGGATTTCAGAAGCAGAGCAATCAGGAAGATTTCCAAGACCAGCACCGGCCCAGCCCCACAAGTGACAGGACCGCACCCTTCCGAGGGACAAAGTCGCGCTCCAGACCAAGAGAAGGTTCCTCTTCCTGGTAGCCCAGCCTGCGGGCCAGAGCGGCCGCAGGAGCGCTCCCCAGCCCGGCGGCCGCGGCCCCAGGAGACGCGCGCCCACCCGGCCCGCTGCCCGCTGCCCCTGCCCCTGCCCCTGCCCCTGCCCGGCTCTGGCATCTCGGAAGCAGGACACCGAGCCGCAGGCAGCCTAGGAGGGGAGCGGGAGCGTTCAGCTTCGCCCTGATCCTACCTCCCAGCCCCTCCCTCCCCTCCCGCCGCCACCAGTCTCGGAGACCGGAGCCCGCGGACACCCCGGCTGCAGTCCAGCCATCGCCGCCCCCTGCCCGCGCCCCCCGCGCCCCGCGCCCTACCTGAGCCGGAGATGTGCACCCGGAGGGGGCGGCCCCTGCTGGAGCAGGACGACAGGTCGCTCTGGGATCGCCCGCGGGGGCTCGGGTCCCCCGGCAGCCTGCGCAGGGCCCGCGGAGCGGCGGGCGCCTCGGACTCAGAGGCTCTGGCCGCCACCTGCCCGACCGGCTTCCCCGGGGGCTCCGCGGGGCCCGGGCCCACTGCGGCCATCGCTCCCCGGCGGCCGGCCCGGGGCGCGGGGTGCGCCTGGCGCCGGGGCTGCGCTGCCGGCCGCGCCCCCCCAGCAGGGCGAAGGCCCGGGAGGCTGGACGCCGGGCGCGGGGAGCGGGCGGAGGGCGGGCGCGGGGAGAGGAGAGAAAAGTTTGCACAGGAAGGAGCCGCCTACAGCCGGCTCTGGCTCCCGGGCGCCAGCCGCAGGGCTCGGAGCCGGCCGCCCGCCCTCGGAGCCTGCGAACCTGCCGGGCTGCTCCTCCCCCAGGGGCCGGGCTCTGCCCTCTGCGGGCAGTCAGGAGCTGGGATGCAAGGTCAGGGTTAACAGTACCATGTCCAGCCAAGACCAGTTTGGCTCAGTGGATAGAGCGTCAGCCTGTGGACTGAAAGGTCCCAGGTTCGATTCTGGTCAAGGGCATGTACCTTGGTTGTGGGCACATCCCCCAGTAGGGGGTGTGCAAGAGGCAGTTGGTCGATGACGCTCTCTCATCAATCTTTCTAACTCTCTAACCCTCTCTCTCTCTGTAAAAAGAAAAAAAATCAATAAAATATATATTTTTTAAAATACCAGGGGGGAGGAGGGGAGATGCCATGTACACACACTGGAGCCACCGAGTAGTGGAGTGGAAATGGCCATACCGGGTTTCCAGGTGAGACCCTGCAGGGCGCCGGCGGGAGAGTGGCAGGTCCTGGAGTCCCTTAAGTCAAGCCCCATGACCTTCCATTGCCTGGAAACTCCTTCCTTCTCTCCCGCTCACTGTTGCACCCGTATCCCTGGGTTTCTGTCTGCTGGGTAAACTCAAAGGTCGTGTTTAAAAGACAAGTGTTCCGAGAACCGAATGAATAACACAGATTTGATGCCCCGGTGGGTCAGTGCTTTCTGGCGGAAGGACAGGTCTCCGGTTGGAAACATCTTCGTTGACCACATGCCGTGTTTTGCAAAATGGGCAGTGGGGCTTTTGCTGTTCCAGCCGGTAATTTCACAACCTAACCTTTATCAGTTTCCTGATTAGGCCCCCAAGTCAGGACTTGCCTAGAATCAAAAGGCTGTGAATCAGGCTCAGCAGCCACCATTCATTGTAGGTCATAGATGGGCAGCAGGAAGAGATGAGGGTGTGTGTGTGGGGGGGGGGGGGGGGGGACCCGCGAAGGCGGGGGAGGGTTAGCCATGAAACTTTATTGACACACACATGCCCATATTCCAGGTGCTACTTCACAGACTTTGTACATATTACATATTTTAATAACAAAAGCAACCCAAGCAGAGGATGTAAGAAAAAAGAGGACAAAAATAAGGGTGTGGATCAGTAGACAGCGGATTAAAAAGCTGTGTTCCATTTGTTCCATGGGATGCTATGCAGCAGTAAAAAAGAAGAATATCTTACCCTTTGAGACAGTGTTATCTCCAGGTGAAATGAGTCAAAGACAAGTATCACATGATCGCACGCACTTGTGGAATCTCATTAACAAAATAAACTGATGGATCCAGGGACGTGGAAGCATGGAACAGACTTGGGAATCTGGGAGGGAATGTGGGGGAGGGTGAGTGGGTGGGAGGTAACCAACCAAAGACCTTGTATACTTATATGCATAACCCATGGGCACAGACAATAGGGTGCTGAAGGCCTGAGGTGGGGGGGGGGGGGTGTGCTGGCAGGGGGTGCAGGCTGGAGGGGATCAAAGGCAGATAAAGGGGGACATATGTAATAGTTTCAAAAATAAAAATAAAAATTTTTAAATGCAGTGCAAGCTAGAGAGAGAGGTTCATTAATACCCATGACGCCTTTTGTAGCAACTAGGTCATAACAGCAGCTCACCCTTGGTCATTTAAAAGGACTTCCACCTTAACTCTCACAGCAGCTCTGTGGGGAGGGTATGATTATCCTGGCTTTGCGTGCTAACTGTCCACATACAGGTCCGTTCCCACAAAGTCAGCCGTGCCTGCCTGGTCCTGCCAGGCAATGTTTTCTGCTTTCTCACCTTTTAAAATTTACTCCAAATGGTACGTCACTTTCTTGGTATCTTGTGTTGTTTCAGAGAAAAGATGTCTGTGCGGCTCAGCATCCACACGCATTGTTTTGGCAGACAGGTCACTGACAGAGCTGAAAGCACAGTTTGATTTCCCACTTTCCCTGGATAACCAGTTAGATGACAGTGTATCGCCGGCTCTCCTGTAAATTGCTCAGTGATGCTGTTTGTACTCCTCACTGCCCCTCCCTCAGCAGTTACCCACCCAGGTCATCTTTTCTCTGGAGCAGTGGTCGTCGACCTTTCAGACCTCATGGATCACCAGTGTCTGCGAACTATTCATCCTGGACATACTCTGTAGCATGCATTCCTGCTCCCTGCACATGGGTCTCACAGTGTGAGTGCTCCCATCCTCCTCCAGGCCCCCTGCTTCTCTCTTGTTTATTCTGCCATCTCTCTCTCTCTTTTATTTTACTGACTTCAGAGAGGAAGATGGGGAAGAGAGAGAGAGAGAAAGAGAGAGAGAGAGAGAGAGAGAGAGAGAGAGAGAGAGAGAGAGACATCAATGATGAGAAAGAGTCATTGATCAGCTGCCTCCTGCACACACACCCCCCTCCTGTATGCCCCCCACTGGGACCGAGCCCACAACGCTGGTATATGCCCTTGACCGGAATCAAACCTGGGACCCTTCAGTCCCCAGGCCGATGCTCTATCCACTGAGCCAAACCAGATAGGGCACTGGACCAGGCACTGTAGGAGGTACTCCACACCCTCAAGGACCCCTCAACCCTCTATCTCTCCATTCATTTCCCTTCCCAGTCAAGCTCTAGACTCTAGAGAGAGTAGCATCCACATGCTAGTCCCTTCTCCATTCATTCCCTTACGATCTGCATTGTGACTTCTGCCCCCACTGCCGCCTAAAGCTGCTTTGGCCAAGATCACACTTTTGAGCACCAGTTGTCAAATGGACTGGGGACACCCTTGACCGCCTGACCTTTTCTGGACTCTGCTTCCCTGGTTTCTGGGATACTCATCTCCCTGGGTGTTTGTTCCTTATCTTCTTTGTTCCTTGTTACTCCCATCTCAGGATCTCTGATTTCCATCTGTTCCTTCCAAATATTCCCCAGGGGTCCAGCATCAGCCTCTTCTCTACACACTTGACGTATTTTCCCCTAGGAAATCTCATCTTTAGCCGTGGACCATGTGCAGATGCCTCCCACATCTCTCCCTCCAGCCCAGGCGTCTCTCCTGATCTCGAGGTCCCAGTGTCCAGCTTGGTGAGGTTTCCTTGTCATAGGCGGTCAGTCAGCCTTCCTCCTTCTCCATGAACCTGTTCCGTCCCTTCTCCAGCTGAAATGAATTTCTGCAGAATCTGTTTTCTCCCCTACCTTGTCTTCAGCCTCAGCCTTCATCTTCTATTTCCTCCTAAAGAGAGGGAACTAGGCTCACTTCCTTTTATTATGCCCCCGTCTCATTCTTAGAATCCTTCCAAAATTCTCACGAGATTTTGCTTGTGCTCTGCTTACTTCCCTTCAAAACAAGTATCCACGACACATACTCAAGGGTGTACTCTGCAGTATGGTCTATCAGGACGCCTCTACCCTGCCCCACACTGTGCCTTGCTGGTGTTAAGCACACTCTGCTGTCTGGCATGCAGGCGTATTTGCAGTTTCCTGTTCCTCTTCTCGTGGTACCTCTGCATCCCCATTCCTTCTGCCTGCACCATCCTTCCTCACCTTTCATTCCTAACTGATCAGCCATCACTATCCTTCCAGCCTGAAAGCCAGGCAAGCCCCCTTACCCCATCACACCCCCATCAGTGCCAAATGGCCCGTGTGCATCTCTATGTGGCCACTTTTCACACCAGAATGTAATTGTTGGATGTTAACCTGTCCTACTCCCTGTGAACTGCTTCAGGGCAGGAAGTGCCAGACTGGCCTTTGTTCTCCCAGCAGGCTGCGTGTTGAATGAATGAATTGATGAAAGAAGTCTCTTTGGGGAGACAGACCTTCACAAATATTTACCTGGCAATTCATGGCAAGTGGCAAAACCCACATTACATGGAAGTCACTATGGAAACCAGAGGAGCAGGCACCTCACTGGCCTGAGGCAGAGCATCAGGGAAGGCTTCCGGGAGGAAGTGCATCTGAGATGCGAAGGCCCCCCAGGCTGAGGGAAGGTGCAGAGGCTTGAGAAAGTGGGACTTCTCAGGACACTACCCTATAATGTGAGGTTGGAGAACAGGAGCCCAGGAGGGGAGTGTCAATTTGAGCCTGAAAAGGTAAACAAGAAGTGGATTAGGATTCACTTTTCAAATACCATCTCGCTTATACAATCCTAAAATGATTAGCCATCAAATTTATTTGTGGGTTTGGTTTATTTCTGGTTTTGTGTATCCTGTCTCACTCCTGCCATAAGATTTCTATTTCCTTAGCAATGTCCCTGAACCCAAAGGACAATATTTTGTCCAGCACTTAACAAATGTAAGCTATTTGATGGACTAGCAAAAAAGAAAGGCATTTATTTCAGTTTTTCAAAACAAAATGTTTGTAGATATTATTAGTTTGCTTCTTATTCAGCTATTTTCATTAAATATTATTTCTGAAAGATTGGCAATAAAAACTGAAGATGAAAAAGGAGTTACTTCTAATTATATGGTGTTGCAACAGTGACTTAACACACCAGGAAGACTTTCATAGTTTTACCATTTCCTTTGAAATTATGATTTATGTGAGACGATACAAAATTAAAGGAACATGTATTCATTCATTTCATTTAATCATTCCTTTCATAAATGCAAATGCAGTGTGATCTGCCCCTTGGTGCTGGGAACTCCCTACTTTTAGCAGGAACACCTGGATGCGGTGTGGAATCTGTCTGCTCTGCAGCCAGTGTCTTCTCTTCCCGCACCAGGCCAGGTGGGCCTCTCCTAAAGCCATGAGCAATGGAGGGCTCCTGGTATATTACAGTCTAACTTACAGAAAGAGGAATTTTTAAAAATATATTTTTATTGATTTCAGCGAAGAAGGGAGAGGGAGATAGAAACATCAATGATGAGAGAGAATTGTTGATAGGCTGCCTCCTGCATGTACCCTCCTCCTCTTTCTC